AGGAACCTTCGAGATACTCATTACATGTTACCAGCGTCACGTGAATTCTGCTGTCGTAACACTACTTTAACATAATATTTAAGGACAACAAAGGACCTATTGCCGGGTTCATCTCGGCTGTCACATCCCTTAAACTAAACTATTATAAATTATTTAAATCCAGCCCTTATTATTCATATAGTTATCAAGCTTTCTCTTAATGTAAACTCACTTACATTTACTGCTTCCACAACATCCAAAGACAACCCATTACAGAGGTCAATCACCCTGTTTAGAAAAATAAAAGTGTCTTAGATGAAGATGACTCCTAACTTGCTAAAATTTATATTTATGTTCTACAGTCCTACTATTTTCGCCGTTAATTATGAAAAAAGATGATGCATCAACACTATCAATTCCATTTACAATTTTAAACACTTTAATCAGATCCCCTCTAAGAGAAAACAATTTCAAAGATCTTAATCACTCCTTGTGTGACAACCCTTCCATCCCGGACACGATTCTAGTAACTTTTCTCTGAACCCTTTCCAACAATCAAATATCCTTCCTAAGGTAAGGAGCCTAAGACTAAACACAATATTTCAAATGTGGCCTAACCAGTGACCTATGTAATGAAATTATAACCTCCTTAGGCTTGTTTTCGGTATTTCTGTAAATACAACCTAAACTCCTATTTGCCCTTCCACTAGCAAAAGCACACTTCTTGGATGGTTTAAGAAACTGATTACATCAATATCTCTATCTTTCATGACACTGTTAAGGGTATTACAATCCAAATTATGATAACCCACATGCGTTATCTTGTCTTTATTATAATTAAAATGCATCTGCTATTTATTTGCCCAGCTAACTAAATAATCTAAATCCTTTTGTAAAGCGGCAGCATCCTCTTTACAGCTAGTAAAGCCCAAGACCTTAATATCATCAAAAAATTTAGGTAATTCATTGACCATTCCTTCATCTATGACTGAGCCCTGAGGTACCTCACTTGTGACATTAATCAAGTTTAACTGAACTCCATTTATAACAACCCTCTGCTTTCTTCCATCCAGGCACTCTTCTTTTCAATTACCTAACTTATCCCCCACACCTAAAGAGATAATTAGCCGATAAATTGATGTATTTATTTCCTTCCCTATCTTGTTTGGTTCCTTTTTCTAGTTCAATAGCCAGTCCTACATAGTTTTTTTTTATTAAGCAATAAATTTTTCTCCTAATACTTGCTTGTTTACTTTTTTTTATAAGATGGCATTTGTTGGTTACTAGAATATAAAGTGTACTCTAAAGCTTTATACATTTTGTATATAATAAAGTAGGTAGTCAAAGATCATAAAGACTGTTTTGCTATATCAAATGATGATAAAAATTATAGTTGCTGCTAGAAATACATAGGTGCTTGTTGAAGAAAGATGACGATGAACGAAAATAGGTTTAGGCTATTCGCCGGTTTTCGACTTTGAGATGCTCTGGATAGCTGAAAAGTGGCATATACACCGAAGATAGAGCGACTATGCCGGGTAGCTCTTCATATCTAGCTTCTGATGACTTGTATGTGTACTGATTTTTTTTTAATCTTCACTTCATGCATAATATAGGGTCGGCTCTCCGATTAGATAGTGTAGAAAACATTGAATATTCTACATGTTACAGTCATCTAATGTTCATCTTTTATTGGCTGGTAATCCCGTACTTAAGCATTTTAATTAAAAGGAACATCAGATTTCTTTAAGAAAGCTAACTTCCAGAGGTAATAATATTGTTCACTCTAGAATTACGACTTGTTTTTAAATTTTGCATAGAACAATAATAAAATTGGTATTTTGTTTGCTTGTAATTAAGCACAAAGCTACACAATGGGCTATCTGTGCTCTGCCCACCACGGGTATCGAAACCTGGATTCTAGCGTTGTAAGTCCACATACATACCGCTGTGCCACTGGGGGCGAAATTGGTAGTCAAAGATGAATTATTCAATGACTGCTTTCAAGAAAGAAAGACATACTGTATTGTATTTTAGTTTTTGAATTGTACTGTTAATAGATTTTTATATCAATTCGGGCCCCCAAGTGGCACAGCGGCATGTCTGCGGACTTACAACGCTAGAATCCGGGTTTCGATACTCGTGGTGGGAGAGCACAGATTGCCCATTGTGTAGCTTTGTGCTTAATCAGAAACAAACAAACAAACAATGTCAATTCGGAATATTAACTTCGGGGGGGGGGAAGCATATGATCTAAACTGGACGGGCAAAGTCCCCTAAATTCCCCTTCCCCTTCGTGGCGTAACAATGTTCGTAGCATTCACTGAAGTCGTTAGCATCAGAGCTGTATGTGCTCATTGTTTTAGCGCTCTCTGATACTGCGGCGAGTACTCAAACAACAGTGATTAAATTTTTTAATATCCTCAACTTGTTTCAATATCTATTCTTATTGTGTCACAAGTGCGAGAAAATGTAAATAAATGTGTTTATTAGACTGTTGAGGCATAAGGAAGAGCGTAGATAATACGTGAGTGCAGTTGGAGACAATAGATTGACAACTCACTGATCGCTGGACTCCTGACGATAGAATTTTAACGTTTTTGTTGGAAAAAGAGAAACCGAGACATAAACCTCTTCTATTCTTTATATTGTTTTTACTCCCCGTGTCTAAAGTTGAGAAAAGCCTGTAAGGAGATGATTGTAAAAAGTGCACTGTCATGTTAAAAGACAACAAGAAGGAAACCTGAACTGGTAAGAAAGTATCGGGTAAAAATTTATTTCTTTAATTTAAACTCATCTTGAATTCGAAGCACTTTTCACCTTTATATTGTTAGGTGAAAGGGCGAAGTTTAAAATAGGTTTAGTTGATAAAAACAATAAAGTACAAAAAAAGGCATTCCTAAAAAAATAATTTCAATAGATTGTTTGTTTGTAATTAAGCACAAAGCTACACAATGGGCTATCTGTGCTCTGCCCACCACGAGTATCGAAACCCGGATTCTAGCGTTGTAAGTCTGCAGACATACCGCTGTGCCACTGGGGGGCGTTTCAATAGAATATACTAAATAGGCTGTATTTTTTTCATTAATGGAATTATTCATGTTCAATATTAGCTCCTGTTCTTACTGAGTTTGAGATTAGTTTCATTTTTGCTGAGTTTGAGATTAGTTCCATTTTTGCTGAGTTCGAGATTAGCTTCTGTTCTTGCTGATTCGTATATATTTTTTCATGAAGAAACGTGGTTAAACAGGAACTCCCATATTTATTCCAGCTATGTAGATGAAGCTATTTTGTAGAAACGCCCTGAGCATATCTACCGAAATAGTAAACAAGACACGTGATACTTATAATTGAGCTCAAGAGGTATTCTAAAACCCTTACTTTGTTCATTTTTCCAGTTTTACGAGTTTTTACGACCATTTAAATTTTCCCTCTTGCTACTGTCTAGTGTCGGTTAATGACGCATAGCACACCGTTCCGCCAAATTCCATAAAGCCAATGAAATAACCACCTTTGCTAGTTTGTATAATAGCAATAAACAACATGAAACTAATAGCAATGTATTTAGAGATTTTGCCACCATTTTATACCACTATTATAAATTGCACAAAGTCGTTTGTTTCAAACAACTGTCATAAAAAAAAACTGCATCAAGAAATAAGTGCTGAAATTAACGCCAACGAAATGCTAGAAGACTTGTTTCGGTCCCTTATATAATTTCAGACTTTTTATGCATGTGATTCCTTTGTTATTAATATTTAATTATAAATTTTTATTCGAGGGTGAAAACTTCACATTTTCGTTAAAGTTTATTAGAGGATTCACAACATGTAAATAATTAAATACTAAGTTGCTTATTAGTCGCAACTAATGTATTCTTTTAAACTTCGTTAATTATTTAAACATATAAATATTGAAAAGAAGAATACTGTGAAGTACGAGATTAGAAAATTGTGCTGAATCTTTTTATTTTCATTCACAGTTGTTTTTACCGACACGAGTATATTTATTTTCAAAAAACTTCCCACTATTTACACAAGTCTGATTCATACAAATATGAACACGTACCTGCTTCTAGTTACCCGAAAACTAGTATTTTGTATACACCGTGTCCAAATGCACAAACTTACAATTCAGTTTTTCAAATTAATTTTATTAAATTCACAAATGAAATGAGAATAAGGAAGAAAAACTGATTACAATATAGATAATTAAATCCGTCATTATATATATATATTTTTTTCTCTGTACAACAATCTTTAGGTTTGAGTTCTAAAACAATAACATTTTCAAAACAATTACAAACATCTTTTTAAAATAAACTTACATAACAATATAGAAGAAAACTAATATGTTTGTTTGTAGTTAAGCACAAAGCTACACAATGGGCTATCTGTGCTCTGCCCACCACGGGTATCAAAACCCGGTTTCTAGCGTTGTAAGTCCGCAGACATACCGAAACAAATATGAAACAGTTGCCCGACATTTCGTTTAATTCACAAAAATATTCATATTTTTAATTCCACGGGTTTAGTCGGTTTGTTTAGTTTCGAATATTCGCGCCAAGCTGAACAAGGACTGACTATCCCTAATTTGGTTTGTTTGTTATTAAACATAAAAAATATACAATGGGCTATCTGTGCTATTCTCACCACGAGTATCGAAACCCTAACTGATAGACTAGAAGCGAATGCAGCTAGTCAACAGCATCCACACCCAATTTTTGTGCTACTATAACCGAATAATAGAATTTGACTGTCACTCTTATAATGCATCGATCGTCCCAAAGCGTGGAGCGAGATTTTGCAGGAACGGGACGCAAACCCTGAATTCCAAAATTTACAGTCCAGTACATTAATTATATGGGTTTACCATATATTTATATTTTAAAACTAAATTATTTAGATCGTTTTACGTGTGTGTAAAGAAAAATACACACACACACACACACACACATATATATATATACACACATATATTAATATTTAGAGCATTGATTCATGAATACTCTTAAGAAAATGGCCCGCCTCGCCTAAGAATGAATTGATGTTTAAACTGTAAAACAAACGCAAACGTTTCTTTTCAGATGTGTATAGAATGGTGTATGTATACATACGGGTGATCTCTTTTTCAGGTCAAGATTTGTGGGCATTTTACCTAAAGGCTTTCCCCAAGTTGTATAGAGAGTTTGTGCCTATTTCAACACAAACGAACTTCCTTAACCTTTATATATCAGTAATGTGTTAGCCATAACCGTCAACTGTTTAAGATCAGTCTAAACATATTGATTATAAAAGAGAACATTTTGTTATCGTTAACAGAAAAATTAAGCTAAACCATGGTGTACTGAGAAGTAGGTAGAGGTACAGTCTCTACCTACCAGTTCTTAAACTTTTTACACAGGCAACGAAACTAAATCCAGTCACTTGCTTTTTTAAAAATGATATATTGAAGTCGTTATTGCACCTTGATAGATCACATTATCCCAGATATTCCACTGTTCTTAAGAGATGTCATAACAACATATAAGCGAGGTCTTTTCGAGACCAAATTAAGTATATCTCAGATACTACACGATTAGGTGATATCTTAAGGGTAGTATAATGAAGGCCTTTCGATATTAAAGCAAGTTGTTCGTATATACCAGATACTACACGATTAGGTGATATCTTAAGGGTAGTATAATGAGGGCCTTTCGAGACTAAAGCAAGTCAGTCATATATACCAGATACAACACGATTAGGTGATATCTTAAAGGTAGTATAATGAGGGCCTTTCGATATTAAAGCAAGTCTGTCATATATACCAGATACTACACGATTAGGTGATATCTTAAGGGTAGTATAATGAGGGCCTTTCGAGACTAAAGCAAGTCAGTCATATATACCAGATACTACACGATTAGGTGATATCTTAAGGGTAGTATAATGAGGGCCTTTCGAGACTAAAGCAAGTCAGTCATATATACCAGATACTACACGATTAGGTGATATCTTAAAGGTAGTATAATGAGGGCCTTTCGAGACTAAAGCAAGTATGCCATATATACCAGATACTACACAGTTAGGTGATATATTAAGGGTAGTATAATGAGGGCATTTCGAGACTAAACCAACTCTGTAATATATACCAGATGCTACACGATTAGGTGATATCTTAGGGTAATATAATGAGGACCTTTCGAGACTAAAGCAACTCTGCCATATATACCAGATACTACACGATTAGGTGATATATTAAGGGTAGTATAATGAGGGCCTTTCGAGACTGAACCAACTCTGCCATATATACCAGATACTACACGATTAGGTGGTATCTTAGGGTAGTATAATAAGGACCTTTAGAGACTAAAGCAACTCTGTCACATACACCAGATACTACACGATTAGGTGGTATCTTAGGGTAGTATAATAAGGACCTTTAGAGACAAAATCAAGTCGGTCATTCACCTCATATCTTACAGCAGTGGTTCTCAACCTTTTTGAACCCAATGAACTCTTTTTGCCATCAAATCTGTGTTACAGAACCTTTCACAGCGTTCATTACAAAAAACATTACTTGAATACTAGAAGCTGTTTGTACCTAGTCTCGTTCATTATTTTAAAACAATGCAGTGACTTGTTGTTATGTTGTGTCATTAAGAAACCCGCTATACTAACAAAGAAATATGATTTAGTTGGATTGCCATTATATGACTAGTACGTATTTACGTATTAGAATATCTGGAACTCTTTCATTCGCAGAACCCTGTTGATCTCCAATGTCTCGCGGAACACCTGGATGTCTGTCGTGGAACTCGAGGGTTCTTCGAAAATCCGGTTCAGAAGCACTGCCTTAAAAAAATATGAGATGCTACTTGGTATTTTGGGATTTTCAGCCTATAATGCACTCTATGCAACACCATAGCTAAAAGGCAAGGTCAAAGGCCACTCAGGTTCAGGCATATCCACCCCTAATTTAAAACTTCTAATTAGAAGGACGACAACAAGCGTTTTTATTGATTGTCAGCCAATTTTTATTCATTTACGACTGGCCTCCCTCCCCTACTGTTTAGTACGTTCCCAACGTGCCTGGGTAAGTTAGATAATATACAGTGTACTATTCGGCTGCTACACTTTAACTGACATTATCTCTAAATGAAGATGTTTCCTGTTTTGCTAAGGAGGCCAGTCTTTGAAATGTAATGTAACTTTTATATTTAAAACCTGTCATTAAACGCTCATTCATGTAAAGTCCAAACTATTTATTTCTATTTAATTTCTTAGTGACTTCATCATCGCACATTCCTATATATATAAAAAAAGTGATAGGGTCAAAATATACGTTACAAAGGATCCACCCAAAAGTATATACCCAGAAAAAAAAGTAACCTAAGACTGATATGTTGTTTGATACTTTATTTGTGTCAGCACGCATAACGGATCTTATTTAATTCTTCAAAATATTTTAATGGTTTATATATATACAACAATTCACGTACTATACACATCTGACAATAAAGTGACAGTTTATATAATGCTGTATACTGTCGTTTCTTAGAAAGGTCATAAAACAAGCCTACATGTGCTAAGGTTTAATAATGATGAATTGTTTAGAAACTTGGATATCTCAGTATAGCCTTTATAAATAACTGCTTCTGGTATAGCTTCAGCAATCTAGTGCAAAATGACTGAAATAAAATAAATCATGTTACAGATCTGAGATATTGTTATATCTTATTTCCAAAGATAAAGCTTCTTAACTCACATATAGATAGTACCTTTCATACCTTTCGCACCCCCAATAATTAAATTGGGGTCCGATTATTATTGACTCTTCCAATATTTTACCGATAAACGTTTGATTTAGTCTTTTTTCTATGCGGCAGGAATGCACAAAAACAATTTTGAAAAACCTGTCATGTCAAATGTACATGACGAAGCTTAAGGTCTTTGAAAATGCGAATTTTTAGTACAGAGCAAATAATTTAATCCGTATTTCGTATGGTTTTGTATGTACAATAGAATATTCTTATCGTGTGATTGTTAAATAATATTTTAAAGCGTTTTTATTGATTGTCAGCCAATTTTTATTCATTTACGACTGGCCTCCTTCCCCCACTGTTTGGTACGTTCCAACGTGCCTGGGTAAGGTAGATAATACACAGATTGCCATGAACTTTATTATTTCCCCTTCTCAATCACCTAATGCTATGTATTTTTGGTAAGTTGCTCTTAGACACTGTATAAGAAATAACACTGTTGGTCAAGAATTGACCACTACATAAAGCGTTCGGCTACTTTGACATGTTTATCTTAGACATTGTAGGAATATTTCAAGATGGCTGCCCTAATGTCTTCCAATGAGACAGAATGAAGTTACAATTATTAATGACATCCATTACATGTTAAGACCATTAAAACTGTTTAAAACTAACGAGTACAGATACCTGCAATCATTCTGTTTAAAACTATAAACACAGTTTGTTTCTAGACAATTGTTTTTATACAAAGTAAACATATACAAATATTAGTTTTCTAACTCCTCGCTAGCAGGAACTTAATGAAGGGGTGGATTTTATTTTATAGATTTTTTTACAGTATCGTCAGCTCATCCTAACAGGAACTTAATGAAGAGAGTGGATTTTATTTTATGGATTTTTTTAACAGTATCATCAACCCATTCTAGCAGGAACTTAATGAATGGGTGGCTTTTATTGTATGGACTTTTTTTACAGTATCATCAGCCCATTCTAGCAGGAACGCAATGAAGGAAGTGGATTTTATTTTATGGATTTTTTTAACAGTGTCATCAGGCCATTCCAGCATTAACTTAATGAAGGAGTGTTTTTTTTACAGTATCATCAGCCCATTCCAGCATTAACTTAATGAAGGAGTGTTTTTTTTACAGTATCATCAGCCCATTCCAGCATTAACTTAATGAAGGAGTGTTTTTTTACAGTATCATCAGCCCATTCCAGCATTAACTTAATGAAGGAGTGCTTTTTTTTTAGATTTTCTTTATAGTTTCAACAATTCATTTTGACAAGAACTTAATGATGGGTATATTTTATCATACGAGTTTCCTTACAGTTCTACTTACTCTAGCAAGATATTAATGAATAGGTCAATATCGTCTTACGAATTTTCTTATAAATTCGATAGATCAATCTTAACAAATTTGTGGAATTTACACGTCACTGCTCTCATAAACTTTTGTACTGACAACTAAACTTCGCAGCAAATTAATGGAGATTTGATCCTTATATGAATATTCTTACAAACTCCAGCCCTAGCAACTGCAATATTAGAAACTAAAAATAATATTTTCCAATTTGTTTTAGCACAAAGCTACACAATGGACTATCAATTATAAATCCCAAAGTTTACCTCTGGGAACAATGTTTTTTGTTTTTTTTTCTCACTTAACATTAACTAAAAACAACAACATTATCCGCTACAAAAAAGGCTCACTACAACTTTTGTATTTACTATTTAATGTTCGAAACATAAAAGAAAGTTTGAGCCATCGTCATAACATGGGTTCATATCCTTTTATATAAACACACCTTATTCTTGTAGACTTATTTCATAAGTTTCATATTATATCTGTCTCGTGTATTTGGTTAAATGACTGCGGAAGTGTGTTAGCTTTACGTTTTTTCCCTGTCACCTGAGCAGCAGATCTCTGGATTCCCGTGTTTGTTTTATTCTTGGTCGTTAGGGGAGTTGTGGATGCAGAGGTCAAAGGTACTTTTGCTTTTGAAGAAATGTTGTTTTCACTTCTGATTTCCTTAAGATCAACGGGATCGGTGACACTGATCATTTGTGGTGAAGGAGAGGAACGGATGAAAAGTTGAGCACATTGAAGATGTTGTAATTTGGTATACTGATCTTGCAACAGTTTTTGTTTATTTAACAACTCTCTGTGTCTGTACTCCAAAACCTCCTGGCGTGTTTGAGAGAAAAGCATATTCATTAACTTTGCGTTATTTTTTACAAAAGGCTTGGCTCCTTCGGACAAGCTTCGTTCAAGCTGTGATTTGGTTATGGATCCATTGTTTAAAAGCAATCCTTCCTGAGAATTCACACTCTCACTACTGCTACTAGAAGACTGATCCCACCGATTAAAGTCGTCCAAGGCTCGTGTTCGAACCATCTGGTTGCTGCTTGGTTTGGAATGTGGGACATCATTTGATACCGATCTCTGGAGCGAATCAGATGCAGACCTAAGCAACTGTAGATTTGACTGACCTCTTTTATTTGTTTGTTTTGTTTTGGACTGTGAAGAGCTGTCAGTATTTATAAGGCTGTCGTCTAGCGGCAACGTCGATATGTTGGAAGACTGCATCATACAACGATTGGTCGGAAAAGGCGGAGGAAGGAACACTTTTTTAGGAGGTAGGTAAGGTGGTTTATGGGAATGTTGTTGCTTACGACTAGTAGAAAGCAAAGGACTATGTTGGTGCGTCCAACCTTCATTACTTTTGTTTACTACTTCTGTGGAAGAGCTTTCTGACTTCAGATGTCCTCTACCGTGTTGATGAGGGGAACCAAGGGATGAAGATTCAGAGTGATATGGAGTAAGATGTTCATGAATCCAAAGAGAGGGATCTCGTTTCATTTCTTCTGCCTCGTTAAAAGACTGAAGTTCATTTAGTAAATCATCTAGAGCAGTTTCCTTTTGTTGCGCCCTCTGGTAATCATCAGGAGAAACGTGAATCACAGTATGAGAGTCTGGGTCGATGGTCTGTAACTGTGTAATAAAATAAAAGATAAAAGGCTCAAACCTAATAAATGAAGTTTAGATACTTACAAAATAAATTCATTTGTATATGAAAGAAAGCATGCAATTAAGTTCTCATATATGAAAATAATAAATAAATAAATAAGAGAGCATCAATGTGTTATATCCAAAATGTGGTTTTTACAATCTTCGTTTAAGAATATTTTCTGTTGTCAGGCGAGTCTGAATTTAACCGGGAGGAATGTGAACGTTGGAAATTAATAAATTATAGATGATGAATAATTGTGTTAATAAACCAATACCAGTTCGCTGTTAAAAGGTGTCCTCTTGCAACATGCTAATGTGAAGTTTCATGCATAGCTTTTCCTAAGGATATTTTTCGACTGCGCAATTGTATTTTAACTTAATCGTTTTTTAATATATGACGCCATATTGCACCTCATATATATATATATATATAGGCCTAGTAACAAATGATCCAAAAAATTAGGAATATTCTAGTAAATACGTATATTTATCAACTCTGAAATGGAATTTTATAATATTAAATATGTTTTTTATATTTATTCACTTGAACTTACTTATATAGGTGAATTTTCAACTGCGCAAATATTTTAACAGGTGTACAATTTGTGATCAACTGCACACTAAGAAAACCCCTGGTTTTATGTTGCCTGTTTTGTGAAGGCTGTTACCGAAAAGTTCGTTTGAACAGTCCTACATATAATCCTAATCATAGAACCCCGTGAATTCAATTCCTTCTTGTTCGGGTAAGACTTCCAATTGGGTTTATAACACCACACCTTTTATCGATTTGGTACGATGAAAGTCAAAGAACAATTAAGAGGAAATACATTGTACTAAATGGGTTTTATGTTAAGAAGTAATATCTAGTTGTGCACATTGCTTGTTGTAAGAGTAATATCTTTAAGCTAATGTTAACCATAATGTTTCTATCTGAACACCTCTATTAAACAATAAATAAATGAATATATTTTTATGAAATATATATATATTTCATATAACCTGTGATATAAAACAGGTAAAAAACGCTAACCTTATGTAATGGTTTACCATTAGAGAATACAAGATATTGACATCCGTAGACAAATGCAAATGGGAGACGAATAAAAACAAATATAGGGTTTATCAAATAACCCTTGATTTCAAAAACGAAATATCAAAAGCTTTCGAGATCGAATATTTCGAAAACTCGTAACAAGTTTGCCGGCGATAAAGAAGTTGTTTATTATTACGCACAAAGTTACACAAAGGGATATCTGTGTTCTGCCTATCACGGGTATCGAAACCCGGTTTCTAGCAGCATAAGTCCGCAGACATACCGCTGTGCCACTGGGGGGCACGATAAAGAACATTGTATTGAAACATAATCATTTTAAACACAAAGCTACACAATGGGCTATTTGTGCTCTGTCCTCCACAGGTATCGAAACTAGATTTTTAGCGTCGTAAGTCTGTTGAGCACCAAGAATTGACGAAATATTTTCTTTATTTTCAAACCGGATTAGTATTTTACATTCATTTTTTATTTCTCTTGATGCTAACTTCTAAGACAACAGTTACGTTGTTGATGTTCTCATAGTGCAAGACTACACAACAGGCTAACCGCACTCTGTCTACCGCAGGAACTCGAACTCAGGATTTTAGCGTGGTAAGTTCATAAACTTACCGCTGACCACTCTGTTCCGTACTGTACAATGTTTCTGTATAGCTCTATCTTTCCTTCCGACGAATTACGGTTAATTACGAGGATCAGGCTTTGAGGCTAATTAACATGAATAAAACTTCTGAAACTCAAACAAATAGGCAAGTTGATTACTTGAAAATGGATACTTAAAGTAATATAGATAACCGCGCATTAACATGTTTCATATATATTTTCCTAATTATTTAAACTCAACCGACAGGAACACGACTGTAGTAAACATGATTTTAATAAACATGTCTGTAGTAAACACGATTGTAGTAAACACAGATGTAAGAAACATGACTAGTATAGACAGCTGTAGTAAACACGATTGTAGTAAACACAGATGTAAGAAACATGACTAGTATAGACAGCTGTAGTAAACACGATTGTAGTAAGCACAGATGTAGGAAATATGGCTACTATAGACAGCTGTAGTAAACATGACTGTGTTGAAGATGTTTGTAGTAAACACGATTGTAGTAAATACAGATGTAAGAAACATGACTAGTATAGACAGCTGTGGTAAACATGGCTGTATTAGATATGTTTGTAGTAAACACAGATGTATGAAACATGTCTGCAGTAAACATGACTGTATTAAACGCAGTTTTAGTAAACCTGACTGGAGTAAACATAACTGTAGAGACATGTCTATAGTAAGCACAGCTGTAGTAAACATGTTTTAGTAACCTGGTTTTAGAAATAATGTCTGTATTAAGCACAGCTGTAGTAAACATAACTGTAGTAAACATGACTGTAGTAAATATGTGTGTAGTAAACACAGCTGTAGTAAACATGACTGTAGTAAATATGTGTGTAGTAAACACAGCTGTAGTAAATATGTCTGCAGCAAACACAGCTGTATTTAATATGTCTGTAGTAAACACAGCTTTAATAAACATAGCTGTAGAGAACATGATTGTAGTAAACATAGCTGTAGTAAATATGACTAGTAACTGTGGCTTTAGTAAACATAGCTGTAGTAAATATGACTGTAGTAAACACAGCTGTAATAAACATGAATATAGTAAACACAGTTGTAGTAAACATGACTGTAATAAACAGATTGTAGTAAAAATGACTATAGTATACACACCTGTAGCAAACATGTCTGTAGTAAATGTAAACAATGCTTCTCGTACATGCAATATTGAAACATACAAAGTAAAATACCGTATTTTTTGGTG